CTGATTACAAGAAAAAAGCAGAACCAATGAAATATTTTTAGTAGTACCGTGCCACGACAATGTGTACCGTTCCATGCACGGTACAAAGTACCGTGTCACGGTACTCTATGCCGTGCCACGACACTTGTGCTGTTGCGCAATGCTGAGAAAAATATAACACTGCCTTTATCGATCGCGATCAAATTATTCGATTTTTCTTACAAGGCGAACCTAAATACGATGTTAAAACATCAATGCATATGCAACAATGCCAATTTAATCACAGGAATACGATTCAAGAATCTTTCAAGTCTCATCCACTCATCTTAATTAAATATCGATCACTCAAATCAATAAGTAACCAAGAATCCTCCCTAGTAGAGTCGCCAAATTGTAGGCGCCATTCGAAGTGCGCCTACTTAAGCATGGTGTGAATATGCTTGGCAATCATAGGAAGTGAGATTTGACATATACGATTAGGGACAAATAAAGTAGGGAGCCGCCAACAAGTTTTTAAGGAACTTGTAAACCGTTCACGGATCATTAAAGGTAACCACGAATAAGGTACAACGATAGGCAACAACGATTGACTCGTGAAGGTTACACCCCATTCATAATCCATGAGATTACTAACTCCATATGGTTCGGAACCACGAAAGGAGGATCGTGGATGATGGTACGAAGTGAGTCATGGAGTCACATTCGCTTGTATTGGCCTCTACTCGACTTTTGTAGCGAAAAGTATTTCCTGCGATCTCAAAGGCATACAAACAAATGTTCAATTTGCTCCTAACTAAATTAGGCTAAATTGGTTGAATATTAATGCACACATAATTCTAAATATTTGTGACCACTTGATTAAACAATAAGATTACAAAGGAACCTAAACTGGTTGTCCAAATTATCTTATTAGTCGTGATTTTCAAATACATATTCCCTTTAAACAGGTAATATGGTGATCAAAACAATAATAAAATTAACAATAAACTAAAAGCAATTTAACCATAATAAATCCAATAATTAATATATGACAAACATAATAAAAATTGTTAGAAATATAAGGCTACCTTTCACGCCTTGGCTTAAGTACGGAACATCAGGTAAAGTATGGACTTCAAGGAGTGCTTAAGGGATGAATTGTGTAGTTGGGAAAGCAAATGTATAAGGTAGAGCATAAGATAGAAAGAGTGTGTGAATTGGTGCTCTGAGACTGCAAATGAGCCTTGTATTTATAGAGGGGAAATGAGGAATGAGATTCATAACCCTAGAAATGAGGCGCTGTGGAAAGAAAAAGCATCGCATCACAGCACTAGGTGCCGTGGCACGGTACTCGTGACGTGGCGCGGTGGTAAATTTTATCATTTTTGAAGATAAAAAACGCGTGAAAAAGATAAAACCAGGTGAAAACAGTGCCGTGCCACGACACATGTATCGTGGCACGACACTTCAGTTTTCCGGAAACTTCTTTAAAATTCATTTTTATCTTATTTTAAACAAAACACGTGATAAATTAGGCGTCGTTTCTATTATTCCGGACTCATTTTCAGGTTTAGGGTTTTATAATTTTATTAATTGGGCTCAATTAATAAATAATGAAATGGATTAAAAATGGTTTGGGCTGATTTGAAAACTGCTGTATTGGATTGAACATGAATTTTAAGCATTCCGAAGATTAAATACTCAACCTTACCAATAATAATCGTTAAAGGTTGTTCATCATCGAGTTTGGTTTAGTGGAGATATTTTTAGGTTTCTATAGTAGTATTTCTAATCATTGACTTTATTTGTTCTGAATTAAATGAATTTTATCTTAAAAGGGTTTTAATTAATGAAGTTGTTTAATGAGCCTAACTTGGATTTTATTTTTACGAGTTTTAATTAATCAGATTAAGTTCTATTACTTAATGTACAAACTCAGCATTCGCTGACTTAATTGTTGTGTTATTTGTTTTGCCATGTCTTGTTCTTCGACGGCACTGTGATGATTCATATTCACACTTGTGATTTTGGGGAGCAGGAATTATTTAATTTCAGGTGATTCAAGTTGATGTATGCTAAGGGAATGCATGGGGATTACTTGAGAGTAGAGAGTTTCTTGTTTATTTCTATGAATAAATACTATGTTGGTTTATTTGAGACAACGTTTGAAGAATTATATATTTTGGAGTATTTTTAAATAGGTCTTTAATGGTTCTCGTTTGTAAGTTTGACTTAATTGATTTTAAAATAAGTTTTCAAAATATTTTAATTTATAGTAGAGTATTCCGCTGCCGTACTTTGATAAATGTTGTAAATTCAATCAACAGAATTGGTTGGATATGGCAGTAATACCCTCTTGATTCTCAATTTTATGATACCATGCGCCAAACATAGTATTTTATACAAGAGAGAATTATGGGGGTGTTACAAAGTGGCATCCAGAGCTTTAGGTTTTTAATTGAAAAATGAGTTTGATTTTCAAATCAATGTTTGAAGTTAAGTGTTTTAAGCTAAAATTCTTGGGATTTAATTTTTGAAGTGCATTTCGAATCTATTTTCGAAAATTTATGTGTTATTTTCGGAATTTTTCGTGTTTATTTTCGGATTTTATCTAATTTTCAAAAAAAAAAACCAAATTAAATTTGGAAATTGCGAAAAAAAAAACATGTTGTCCGAACAGTTTGGTATTTCGAAAAAAAAAAAATGTGTACAAATTAGGACTTATCAATGATTTTCATTACCTCTGATAGATCATTCTTGTAATCTAACATGATCAAAATTTTTAATTCACTACTTATCATTTGGATTTAGGCCATATAGAGTGTCCATTTTGCATAGGTCAATTTCATACAATATCAACACATTCCCTTTCATATTCCTCTCGATTCGTATCAAACAAAATGCCATTTAATCTCAACTTAAGCATATTAACAAGCCCATACAATATTTTTTTTTATCTTCAGAAATTGGTCAATCCAAAAGCAAAACCAAAACGCATCTTATATAAACATAATTCTCCTCAAATAAGCCCTTATGGTGTCACTATAATTCTAGTGGCTTCCTCAACCTTGATAGATTGACCTCCACCTTGAAAGCAAGATTGCTCAGTTTCATTCAAATGATCCTATATGGATCGACCCCCCCCCCCCTAAAAAAACTTTTCAAAACTTTGTATGAAATTTTTTTACCATGTTTAGATGTACATTCGCTAGAACTACGTAGGATTTTGATCCGAGAGTGGTACGTAGGGAAACTTTAATGCTTAAACCTACCATATATCGTAAGGTTCATTTTTTTTTATATTTTGTATTTGAATGTGATTGACAATGTGGAAATTTAAGTATTTTTGTGCATTAGTTTAAGAAAATAGTAAGTGAATAACCATAACCAATTAACAACGTATTAGTAAGGGTCTGGTCTTTAGAACAGAGGAAGAGATGAGTTCTAGACGTTCGATCTTCCTAACTTATACCCCGTACCTAGATCTTTAATTTCACAAGATCATTATGATACAGTGTCTCACCTAATGGAGTTAATGTCATTTTCTATTTGGAAATGACCTTATAAAATATCGTCTTTATTCGGGCAAAAATAGAGTGGTGACTCTAATATCTTTTTATCTAGTCAAATTATCGACTTAAGCGAGATTCTGACTTTCAATCTAAATTAGTCAAAAAATGGGTACAACACTTCCACCCTTCTTCTTCATCCCACATTTTAGCTATTGTAGCACCTTCAATATTTTTAGGGATAACTGTAATTGCAAGTTCTCTAAGAGTCTTTGACCATGCCCAAATGTGGTCCCAAAAAATAGAGTTTGAGCCATCACTTACTATTGTTCTCCCACCTTTGCTAATGTTGTGAGCATTCTCCGCGATCCCTAGCCACACATTGGACATGTTTTCCTTGGTTTCAAACATATCGATATTGCATCTATCTTTGCAATGCTTGCTTCTAAGAACTTTTTACCGTAAGACATTCAGTTTAGTAAGGACTCATCTCCATCCCAATCTCTCATTGTATTTGTAGGTTTCTCAAGCGATAAGGTGAATTCTTTGCCTCTCCTCATCTCCATTCCATATGAAACGCCTTGTTCTTTGAAGATATAACTGCAGAGGCTTAGAAATCGAAGAGAATTGAGAGAGATAAAATAACCATATTGCCATTAATGAGAAAGGGGAGGAGGGAAGGGAACGATATTAGTTAGGGCAATGATGTAATTTCTTTGCGATATAAACTTATTAATTTCCAAACTACAATTTCTCATGTTCATATGCCAAATGTCCCGAGAAGGACATATCTTAATATACTTCGTATTCGTTTATCTCATTCTCACCAAAAAAAAAAATGTGTTCATTAAGTATTCTACTAAATACTTAGATTAAAGATGCGCATGGGTAGGAATGACAACGAATTGGATTCGGGTCGGAAGCGGCTAAATCTGAATCCAATCCGTTTAGTAAACGGACCCTGGACTCGGATCCGAATCCGAAAAATCCGAGTTCGAGTATGATCCGACTCGTAATTTTAGGATCTGAATCCGGTCCGTTTATTCGGACCTTCAAATGGTCTGAATGCTTTCTTTTTGTTTGTTTGTTTGTTTGTTTGTTTGTTTGTTTGTTTGTTTGTTGTTGTTGTTGTAATGTATGATTTACCTATAATTACTTGTATTGTCCCTAATAAACTTTATTTCTTATATCATATTGGTGCGTAAAATATTAGGAAAACCATAGGGTATAAAGTCTAAACATAACATACTTAATTATTTATTAATTTACATGACAAAATTTGCTACAAACAAGCAAGCAATTGTCCCAAGTTATAAAGCATTATATCCTCATACTCGGACTCGGACTTGGTCGGACTTTTCGCAGGGTCCAAGTCCGACCAGCCTCCTATTCAGATCCAGATCTATTTTATCGGATTCAGACTTTTTTCTTCAGATAGGTCGAATTTGAATTGAAATCAGATTGAATTGTCATCCCGATGCATGGGTGACCGTGTAAGAACGAGGTGAGTCGAATTTTTATAAGCGGAGGGAAATTTGTCAATCCTCATACGGATTACGAAGGTAAAGTTTCGTGCACTCTCTTGCCTAATTATTTCTCCTAGCAACCCCCTCGAAGAAATCGTGTACATCCCACCAAACTACATACAGAGAGCGAATTACCTGCCCTAAAACAGTCGAGCAAAAACCCTAATATTTTTCATCTTCCAAGAAATTCGATGTCTGCAATCCATCAAATCTTCACAAATCTAAGCTCAAAGAAAAATTAAACTCTTGATTTCCCCAAAGTTGTTGAAATGGAGGTTTTGAAGGATTATCCATCAGAAATTGATATTGGATCTTCCATGGAGTCGGTTCAGAAGGGAATGGAATTACAGAAGCAGCTTTTCCATACTCAGATCGATCAACTGCGCAACATCGTCGTCACTCAATGCAAACTCACTGGTGTTAACCCTCTTTCTCAAGAAATGGTTCTTTCTCTCTCCTTTTTTTTTTTTTTTTTTTTTTTTTTTTTTTTTTTTGTTTATTTTGGGGAAATTTATGAACCCTAGAATTTGAATTGGATATTTAGATGCGTTCATTTTTTTTTTTTTTTTTTTTTATGATTTTATTTTGTGTGTGTGAATGCAGGCAGCTGGTGCTCTCTCTATAAATATTGGTAAGTTTTGTGACCTTCTCTCTTTTTATTGTTAGTATTGTTGATTTTAATGTGATTAATCTTTATTCGTATTCGTATCATTCAAACATTTGTTGAATGTGTGTATTTGTTTGAGTTAATTGTTTGTTGAAGAGTAATTTGTTAAGCATTTCGATTTGTGATCACTGTACCGTGTTATCTTAGTAGTGTTGCAACTATGTATGAAGTTTATACCGATTGTACATTGTTAATGTGAAATTTGAAACCTTGTTACAGGAAAAAGGCCTCGAGATTTGTTAAATCCGAAGGCTTTGCAATATATGCAAGCAGTATTTTCGATGAAAGATGCTATCAGTAAAAAGGAATCTCGGGAGATTGGTGCTCTTTTTGGACTAACAGTTACGCAGGTATCGTCTAATGGAATTTGTATTAACACTGAGTAAGCTGCATTTATTGAGACGGAACGATTTGATTGTGATCGGTGTTATTTACTGCAATAATAGGTGAGGGAGTATTTTGCTAGTCAGCGGTCTAGAGTGAGGAAATTGGTACGGTTATCTAGAGAAAGAGCGATTAGGGAAAATGGTAACAAGGAACTACAAGATAGTATATCTGCTGATTCTGACCTTATGCTGCCCATAGAGACTACTCCGCTGAGCTCCGTTGGTCCTGATGTTGAGGAAGCACCTTCTTGTTCAAACCAGGATGAAGGTTTGCCAGGACTAGGCGAGTCTGAAAAAGATTTTGTTGAAAATATTTTCAGCTCTATGTGTAAAGAAGAAACCTTTTCTGGTCAGGTGAAATTGATGGAATGGATCTTGCAGATAGAAAATCCTACAGTCTTGTGCTGGTAATTGCTTATCAACCAACAGCTACATAGGACCTTTGTGTTTGAATTTTTCATAGTTCTGTAGTGGCTAAGCTGCTCTTTTGTGTATGGCTGTAGGTTTTTGATGAAAGGTGGTGTCATGATTCTGGCTACTTGGTTGAGTCAAGCTGCTACGGAAGAGCAAACGAGTGTTATTTCTGCTGTTCTCAAGGTCTAATTTTATGTTGTTACAGACCTCTCTGGTTTCTTGTTAGAGGTTAAACTAATGTGCTTATGTGCTATTATGTAGGTTCTTTGTCATTTGCCCTTGAATAAAGCTCTCCCTGCTCACATGTCAGCAATACTCCAAGGTGTCAACAAATTACGGTTCTACCGAGTACCAGGTTTGTGCTTCTCTTCCTATTGACTCCCTGCTGATGCTGCTTTTATAATTCCTGCAAAATGGCATTATAGTGTGTATGAATGGAAGCATAATTAGTATCATCATCAAGTTGCTATGTTAAGATTGTTAACATGGTGACTATTAAGTGTTTTTTTTTGGGTGTGTGTGTTTAACGATGATGGTTTTCCTTGTATGTGTTGAATTTCCAATACTCAAGCATTAAGGAGTGAGTTGGGGTAAATTTTTGTTGCTCAGAATCTGGTAGCAAGATTGGGTGTTGGGGTTCTGGGTATTAATTTTTTCTTATTGGCATGTGTAATGAAGTAATGAGTAACGACAAGGCTACATGCGCACCTAGTATAATTGGAGTATTACTTTTCTTACAATTTGATTGGTTTAACTATTGTATTTAATTACAGAAGTCTTTCAATTGAATATTTTGTTCGGTGAATGGGAGAGAGAATATACATCATTTTTTACAAGTGCATATGTATCATATTCTTGTGTCTTAACTTTTGTGTTTTTTGTAACTTTTGTAGAATTCTGCTTTGATATTTTTCTTGTGTGCTTTAAATTTTTTTTTGCACTGCTTCCTGTTCTTTTCAATTCTTATTAATCTGATTTGAAGATCAGATATCTCAAACAGGGCAAGAGTTCTCCTGTCAAAGTGGAGCAAAATGTTTGTCAAAAGCCAAGCGTTAAAGAAATCTAATGGCATTAGAGCTGCCACTGAGCAAGATACAGACCTGACTCAAAGGCATGCTTCCTGCATTAGCTTCAAAAATATCACTTGTTTTATATTGCTTTATCCGTTCTATAATGTGGAACATAAATTGTGTTTAGGTTTGGTGAACTTGTTGGAGATTATTCATGGCAGTCTTCTGTTGATGCTTCTGTGAGTATTAAGTAAATAAGAATTGTTGCTTGCTTCAAAGGTTGCTCATGTACTTTTTTTGACATGTTTATTGCTTATTTCCATTTCAACAGGATGACATGTTAGTTACCTCATATCTGGGTCCAGATGATACCAGGTAATTAGATTGTGCATTTAACTAACTTCCTCCTGATTAGCCCAACTCTTCTACATTTTTTAAAAGATTGACTGGACTGACATATGGTGTTTTTTTAGGAAAGTGGAAACTATAGAAACAATGAAGCTGCTCACAGCATCTTCAGATGAATCTAATAAGAAGCTCATGTTGGGGACATCGGCTGCTCGTATCCTTTTACTTTTTTTTTTTTTTTTTTTTTTTTAAACAGTTATATTCTAGCATTCTTTCGAAACATTGTTATAAGGGAGCTATGTGATGTAGGGTTGACACTCTTGACAGTAAGAATCCTGTCATGATTATGCTCAATAACAGTTTCAAGTATCGTGAGTAGCAAGTCCAGTTAAGCATGTGTTATTTAGATGATTTAGACATTCCTTAGCTATTCTACAGATAATAAAGAACGCAGAAAGGTTCAGCTTGTTGAACAACCAGGCCAAAAAGCAGCTAGTAATAGTCAGCCCATAAAAGCAGTGGCTGCCAATCAAAGGCGTCCTATTACAGCTGATGAAATACAGAAGGCAAAAATGCGTGCTCAATTTATGCAGAGCAGCAAAAGGAAAACCGAAGGTCCCAAGAAACCTTCTTTACTCACTAATGATTTGCTTTCAGCATCAGAAGCTTATCTTCGTCCCAAGCTTGAAGCGCAAAAAAAAGCAAGGTTGCTTCCCCCAAAGAGTAGTATTAAACAGGTGGAATTTGTTCCCGAACAGAAGCCAGCGTTTGACCAGAAAGAATCTTTGCTAGAAAAGTGCCGGAGGGTTCAAATCCCTTGGTTGGCACCCCCAGGTACAGTTTCTTCAAGTTTTGTTGTAGGATTCTTTTATTTCCTTTTCAGATCATATCTCAAATGGCACTCATTGTTGGACAGTAACTGTTTAAGAATTTCTTCAATTAAGGATATAAGGATCGTCATATTGGTCATCTGGGAAACTCTTTCAGATGAGAAACAATGGTTTTACAATTCTCTATTCCCATGATTCTATATAATCAAAGGCAAAAATCTATCTGTGATTTAGTCGTAGGTTTTCTGTAGATTTTAGTTGTAGCACTATTTATGATGTATAGAACATGGTACAGTCATTGGAGTACTCAGTGCAGAGAATTATTTACAAAGGCTTTTTTCCCCTCCTCAAAATTATAGTTCATAGAATTGTAGAATGAAAACTCATCTGATCTCCCCACCAGCCCTTATTGGTTGCAATCCTAACATTTGCCTTGCTATCCCTTTTGTGTGTGTTGCTTGGGGAAAGATGTACTAACAATTGATGTTGCAATGAATTAGTGTCTGAAATTTATTCCCGAAATTTGTTTTGATTGTCAAAGAGCATTACCATCAATTTATCACAAAATTGCTGTGCTTCATGATGTAACAACACATGATTTGTCTTAAAGTTATTATTTGTTGGAAGACAATTGTTAAAGTAAATAATGTTTGTCTTATTAAACACTATAAACCAAATGCATGGGTAAAAATGCCCCCTCAAATGCTGGATTAAACTTTTGTGGAACAAATCTATTTTTACAAGGTTCATATATTTCAATGGGCTGCCTAAGTTTTGATATGTTGAGAAATAAAACAAAATCAGTCTGAGATTATAGGTGCCTACTTTCCTGTAATTGATATGCAATTTTTTTTACTTTTTTTTTTTCCTTGTGAATTTAAATATAGTTCACTCATTTTTGTAGGTTGTGATTTGAAGCTAATTTGGTTTTAAAAGTATTGTGTAGGGTGAAAGGTGAGATTCAGATATCCAATAGTATAAGGGATCTGCGGTGGATTCCCTACAGAATTTATAGGATTTCTAATAGCGTAGGTAGGAATTAAGATCTGATGAGATAAGTTGGACCTAAAATAAGTGGGTTTTTTTTTTATTTTTTATTATTATTATTATTATTATTATTACTACTATTATTATTATTATTATTATTATTATTATTATTATTATTATTATTATTATTATTATTATTATTATTATTATTATTATTATTATTAATTGTTACTAAAGTAGCATTTTAAAAGTTACAATCGGTAGTGATAATCATATTTACTATAGGATATATGGGAGTGTATACGTATTACATGAACGCATAAACTGGTGCATGTTGTACAAAGTATTAATGATTGGTTCACTTCATGTGTTAACAACTGTTAAGAGTGTTGTGACCTAATTATGGTACTATCAACAGTTTGAATGTTTCTATGGATTATGTAATGCGACTCAATTGCTCTCACCATTAAAGATGGGCTGAACATATTGTATATAATTATGGTGTGAGTCCTTCCAATGTTGCTCCTATTTCCCCTTTTACCCTCCTAAAGCAGAAATCATAAAAAGGCAACAGATGGGAACTTGTGATCTCATTAACAGTTTCATGCCATTTATTTTAAAGATTCAAACTTCCTTGTCAGCAGCCTCCTTGTATTTGCAGGCAATATTTCCAATGACTTTCTCATTGTCTGAACTTTTTTTATCGTACAATGATATGATGCTTTGGGAGCCTAATTTGAGGCTTACGTTTTGCTTTACTCTAAGCAAACCTTCATTTTATTTCAATGTTACAGAATTTGGTGATTAGCCTAGTGTCATCATTGTATTGTTTTTTGACAGACAAATGAAGACTGGTGACTGAACTAACACTTGTCTTCTGAGGCCTTGTCATGTAAATTTTTGAGAGGCAACTTTTGGTGGCCAAATTGTCTACTATCAGTAAGGTTGTCACAATTGAATGACTACCAGTAGATTTGACAGTCATTTTTCTACCAAAAAATCACCTATAACTTGCGTTGATGACAATAACAATGTCAATGCTGTGCGCGCAGAATATAGCCTGGAACTGATTTAGTACTCCAAGCTTTCTGATGAGATATATCCCTGAGAAAATTCTTTACAGAGGTGTATGGAGCAAAGCTTCTGCAGGGCAAATGTGGTAAATCTACAAATATAAAACAAATAATAAAATAAAAAATGTATGTCAACTGTAACACAAAATAATGGAGGAAAGAAGAGAAGGGGAGACTGCGAATAGGTAAAATAAATTAATAAGAATAATTTAACGTTAGTAAAAAGTTAAATCTTTTCAAAATGTATAAACAAGTCAACTACTAATTCAGACGTTCAGTTTTATTAGGTCAGTGGTAATGCTGCAGCGACTAGTTCCTCTTGGTATATATGATGATTTTGGGCACTGTTTTGTAAATCAGTTTTTTTGATTGAATCTTGCGTTACATAGTTGGTCTATATGCAGCTTATTTTTTCTATATGGATTATTTAAAGCCTATCGAGTGAATTCATGGTAACAGTGATGCTCTGTTGTTTTATCCGTTCCTGCAGAAGTTCATCACGTGGCAGAAATTGGCAGTGGAGAAAGCAGCAAAGAAATGGAGGTTCAGAGGAACCGAATCCACCGGGAAAAGGAAACTACATATCGAACGCTTCAAGATGTCCCACCAAACCCGAAGGAGCCATGGGATATTGAGATGGACTATGATGATACCTTAACCCCAGAAATCCCCATTGAGCAGTTGCCTGACGCAGATACGGCAGTTACTTCAGTTGAAAGTCAAAATCCCACAGTTGCTCCAGTTGATCCCTCCACCTCTTCACAGGCTGAGCCTGATCTTGAGCTCCTAGCAGTTCTGCTTAAAAACCCAGAATTAGTTTTTGCCCTGACTTCTGGTCAAGCCAGCGGGCTGTCAAGTGAGGATACTGTGAAACTCCTTGACTTGCTTAAGTCGAATGGAGGGGCAGCATTGTTAAATGGGCAAGCTGTTGAGAAGCCTGAGGAAGTGAAAGTTGAAGTTTCTCTTCCTTCGCCAACTCCTACTCCTACCAGGAATGTTGAAGTCTCTCTTCCATCTCCCACCCCACCTAGCAGATTTGAAGTTTCTCTTCCCTCCCCGTCGCCTTCCACCAATCCTGGTCCGGTGCGTGAAAATTGTATTTATATCACTATACTCTCGCATCTCTATCTTGCAATGGATTTTGACTATTTAATTATTAACTTGTTCTGGGCATTAATCCACCTCAAAATGTCTTTTTTCATCTTGTTACAAACAATCTAATTTATATGCCTTCACCTAGCTCTTTTTGTGCTTAGATATAATTAGTTAAGACCACGTTCATCTCATTATTTTCCATCTAAAATAAAAGAAAAAAACTGTTTTTTTTTTCTTTTTCTTTTTCTTTAATTTATTATTAATAATTATTTTTCCTGGGCAAGCTCTGCTTTTATATATATATATATATATATATATATATATATATATATATATATATATATATATATATCTTACCTTTTATAAGATCCTAATTATTAAGGGACAAAACTAACGGACTAACGGAGTTGGCAAATTCTTAAACATTGAACATCAAAATCTAGCTGTCCCATCAGCACAAAGAATAATAAATCTGTCAATTAAAATGCGAATAGTAAACAGAAATTTTGATATTAATCTCTGGTAGTTGGCTTTAGTGTTGGCGGGTGCACAAATTTTAGTATGGAATTTTATTTAATTTTATTTAATTTTGTTTTTTTTTTTTTTTTTGAAATATAATGGCTACCCAATTATGGTAGTATGGAAATTCATTAAATGTGAATGATTATTCCCAAATTTGCCTAATATTCTTGATTAAATTTCTATATATTACTTGCATAAATGTATTTCGAGAGTGATATATACTAAGATTGTATGTTTTACATAAATTTGCAGAGTGGATGGACAACAACAGAGGCTGCAAAGAATCCGTTTTCCCGACGTGCTATGGGAGTTCAGGATACTATGGCAGTCTTTCCAGTAGTTACAGCTGCTGTTGTTACTTCAGATAGGCCTCAGAATAACTGCGGCTTGCAGCCCCAGTTTCTGTCAACAGCATCTGCTGTAATCACATCATTGCCTCAGCACCATCCTTCTCAAACTCTCATACCCGAGTATCAACCGACATATTTCCCCCCTGTCCTGAATCAAAACCCACCAATGCCTTCATATTCCCGGCCATCACCTGCACTTTCACAGTCACAAATGCATGCACACGCACATGCACATTCACATCCACATCCACATCCACATCCACATCCACATCATCTAACAGAGCAGTATCTGATTTCTGAAGGTAGTAACACGGGAGTGGTAAAAGCTAGGCATGGTAGGCATGGTTTGTCTCACACGCCTTTCTCTAATCATGTAAGTCAAAATGTATATAATCCGACTATGGCGGGCAGTCAACTAGGCCCCGTACGGGAGAGGAATGATTACCACATGGGTGGTCATAAAGGATATGAATCTTGGAGTCCAGAGAATAGTCCTGGCCCAGCAAGGTACCCACCCGAGCATCATCATGGCCACGGGTGGAGTTACCCTGAGCAAAGGGAAAGATATGGACCTCCTGATAGGCTTAGTAGGAACCAAAATTGGCGTGGTGGTGGTAGTGTTAATCGGCGTTGGAATAGTGGTGACCGGAGGCGATAACGACTTTGTATTGGCTTGTATGGCTTTGTTATTCTGTGCATAGGTTGGCTATTCTTGTTATACCAAAGGTACCTGGAAAAGTTCGGATGAGAGCAGATTTTGTTTGACAGTTTAGAGTCATGGACCCTCGACCACGGATCCGAAAACACATTTCTAATATGGCAATTCCATTTGATTAGGAAGTCTTGAGACTTTTAACACAACCCGTTTCATATTCTTGTAGAGAAAGTGTGATATTCGACATTTTTACGTAAAGAGACTGCTGAATTTTGTGCAATGAAATAATCAACTAAATACAGTACATCAAAAAAAAAAAAAAAAAAAAAAAAAGAAAAAGAAAGGGAAGTTAAACAAGCTGACCAAAGCCCAATATTTGTTTGATGTTAAACAAGGAAAGCAAAAAGGATGGACTTTCGTATCAAATTGCCTTTTATTGATTATCTAGAGAACTATGACTAATTTGAGCTTCTGGGCTTCTGGCATTGTATTTCTAAAACTGTTCCTAATTTATTTACACATGACGCGTCTTATAATGTATATAGCTCCATTTCTATATGTGTAAAAATTATAAAAATTAGATATTAATAAAATATACAATAAGATGAATTCATTAAGACCTCACTTGACTATATTATTACTTATAGATTAATGGATATATATGGTCAAAGTTTTCAAAGTTTGACTCAACTATTTACAACGGGGCCAAAAAATAGGAAATTGATTTTGGCATATCCTTATGTGAAAAGAACATAGAAAACTATGTTCTCTCATAGTGGTGTGTCAAAATCATTTTTAGTGTACCAAAATCATTTTCCAAAAAAATAAGGTAGAGGGAGTAGCAATTGGAAAATTAAGTTGCTTTGATATTTGTGCAACAACAATAAAAAACCAAGTTCTTAACTGTTTGAACACCTGGCAACAAGATGATGGAATTATCCTTCTTTTACACTTAAAATTCATAAGTTGAAGGGAAAGCTAGTTTTTTTTTTTTTTTTTTTTTTTTTTTTTTTTTTTTTTTTTTTTTTTTTTTTTTTTGACAAAGGATCATTCACAAAGAAACAACTAAAAAAAGAAACAAAGAAGCTAACGCTTCCTAGCCGAGGTTGCAAGATGATGAGCAGACAAAACATGTTCACGGGAGACCTTCAAAATTTGGCAAACAGTAAAGGCTGGAAGGATGTCTATAATCTACTGTTGGATCCAAGCCGTCGAAATGTCTCTGGTACCATTTTCTCGAAGAGAAGTCAAAGTAGCCACACAGTCGGTACGAGTTAGCAAACATGTAAATCCTCGCTGGCGAGCCATGCGTAAAGCAAAGAGGCAGGCAAGTAGCTCAGCTTGAACAACTGAGAGAGCAAAGCACGCTCGAGCACCACCCCCTAAGCAGATAGTACTACCTGTCCCATAAAAACACCAATCCGCGCCTGCCTTGTAGTCTTTAGAATCCCAGGCCCCATCCACAATAAGATCCACCGTAGGGAAAGCAATGCTGCTACTTTAAAGGGAAAGGGAGAACAACTGAGACCTAAAATCAGGAGGAATGGCACTATCCATTGGCATAGAATTTTCCTTTGTTGACGTACTACGCATATACCACTCGTGAGCAATCTGAAAGACAGCTGTTGGTGACCATTGTGAGTCTTGAAACCTAATGTTCTTCCTAAAAGCCCAAACTGCCCAGGTGAAGGAGGGGATCAAGTCTAAACCCAACCAATCTCTGAGCTTGATAACTGAATTAAGTAAGGAAGTTTACCAAAGGGGAAAGGCAGGGAGGGAATTATCATCAATTCAAATACCCAATGGACCACAAACCCAAAGGCGGCGAGTAAACGAACAATGTAAAAAGAGATGATCAACAGTTTCATGACTGAGATGACAAAGGAACAAGAAGGATCAACGGGAATACCCTTAGTCTTTACACTAGAAGCAATAGGAAGCGCGTCATGGAGCAATTTCCAAACAAAAAGTTTCCATAATGCCCAAAGCTTTTTCCACCATAAGGATGAGATAGAAGCGGCAACTTGAGTAAACACACCCGAATGTTGGATCAAAGTTGCATAGCCTGATTTTGTTGAGAACGCTCCATCTCTAGTGAAATTCCAGTAAACAAAATCATCCATAGGATGCACGGGGCGTTCAAAGCTCAGAATCTTGACAGCAGTGGATGGAGTAAATAACAAGTGAACTAAAGTAGAGTCCCAAGAATTAGAATTTGGGTAAGAGAAGAAACCAGAGTCGGGCGAACCGATCCAGCAATGGATTCCTTGAATTGCACAGACGTCCCCGACACCCAAGAATCCTATAGAATACAAACCTAAGAACTATTTCCTACCTTCCAACTAAGCCCCAATTGGAGTGTCTTAAAACCTTCTAACAAACTTTTACAGCCCCATGAAGGACGAGTGATGCGGCCGTGGGAGTGGTAATTCAGGAGCAATGGGTATCTGGCCTAAAAAACTCACGAAACCAGCAACTGGGGATTCTACATAACTCTCCAGGCTTGCTTAGCTAGTAATGCAGAATTAAAGAGACCTAGGTGTCTGAGACCTGGCCCGCCTAAACCTTTAGGCGTAAAGAGAAGGGAAGAGGGGATCAACGCAAGACCTTTGGAATGGGGATTAGACTTCCACCAAAACCGGACCAAAAGATTATTAATTTTATCAGTGGTCGTGGTAGGGATCTTGAAAATTGACAGGACATGGTTGAGGGAGGCCACAAAAATAGAATTGACGACCACTAGTTTAGCCGCTGCTGAAAGATGAAGAGAGGCAAAGCTATTTAAGCGGCTAGCCACTTTAACGATGAGGGGTTGGACAACTTTACATTTACTTCTGCCAACATCCATTGAAAGGCCTAGGTAAGAATCTAGGGAGGTTTGAAACTTTAAACCCAAGACTGAAGATAAATAATCACGATAGCCTTTAGTAGTATTAGGGTTGAACTTGACAAAGGACTTCTGCAGATTAATCATCTGGCCCGAAATAACAAAAAAACCCTGAACAACCTATAGAATTTCATCACATGCTTGGGAGAAGGCTGGAAGAAAAGAAGGGAGTCATCAGCAAAGAACAAATGTGAAATGGCTTTGTGGATCATGGCTGAAAAAATTTCCATACAAAGGACAAACTAGTAAGAAGATGAAGGATCTCCCTGACGAAGACCACAGGCGGGTCAAAAGACCTTGGTGGGATTTCCATTAACTAATATCTGATAGGAAACCGTGGAAACACATTGCTGAATGATATGTACCCAGTACGGTGGGAAACCAAAAGCTTGAAGAACTTACCACAAAAATTGCCAGCTGACTCTATTATAAGCTTTATTCATATCGAGTTTCAAAGCCGCTGAGAGAGTATGACCCTTCGCGTTGTTCATGTAGGCAAGTAGTTCATGCGCAATGAGACCATTATCAGACATAAGTCGATTAGGTACAAATGCATTCTGAAAGTCCGAAACCAGGGAAGATAATACCTTCCTAATTCGAAAAGCAATACACTTTGCAATGCATTTATATATAACATTGCATAACCTGATTGGACAAAACTGAGAAGGATATTGCAGGTGGTCCACCTTGGGAATAAGAACAATAAAGGTACGGTTCCATTCCTGAAGCATATGACCATGGAGGAAGAAATATTGCACAGCAAAAATAACTGAAGGTCCGACTACATGCCAATGAGACTTGAAAAAAGCAGAAGTAAAACCGTCAGAACCAGGAGTTTTGGAATCGTCAATCCGAAACATAGCCCGTTTTATTTCGTCTGCCGAAATCGGAATCATAAGATCCTTTTTGGCATTCTTCGAGAGCTGAGGAAGATTTAGATTAGTCCAGTTGAAATCCTGAGGATAGCCTTGGCTCTGAGGAGTACAAAATAACTGCGAAAAATAGTCAAGAATAATCCCACAAATTCCATCTTAATCATGAACCCAGTTACCACTAGACCTGGCAAATGGGTGGTTTGGGTCGGGTACGGGTCGGGGCAATTTCGGGTCGGGTCGAGTATGGGCCGGGTCAGGTCATTTCGAGTTTCGAGTATGGATCGGGTCGGGTATCGGGTCGAGTTCGGATCGGGTCATTTTCGGGTCAAGTATGTTCGGGTCAAATTCGGGTCGGCTCAAAATTAAATCAAGTCGGGTCATGTTCAGGTTGTTCCATTTAATTTGTGGATCTAGTTCAAATCAATAATTTTATATTTTATTATTGTTATAATAAGAACTATCAATTTGGTTTATGAGTGTGGCTACAATTGAAGATGAACAATTTAAATTATTTTTGGCACCGGACATTTTTAGTGCAATTATAAGGTAATTTTAGTTCGGGACATTTCGAGTATTGGGTCTGTTTGGGTCAATTTTGAGTATTGGGTTTGTTCGGGTCAAACAATTCGGGTCAATTTCGGGTCGGGTCAATTCGGGTGTCGGGTCAACTCTATTTCTGGGTCGGGTATGGGTCGGGTCGGGTCAATTTTGGGTTTCGGGTCATTTTCGAGTCGATATATTTGGGTCATTCGGGTCATGGGTCGGGTCATTCGGGTCGAGTCATCGAGTCTGGGTCAGGATTGCCAGGTATAGTTACCACTCATATCCAGAAAACCTTGAATTTTATTCCTCCGACGGCGAGCCTGAACATAGGAAAAGAGAAGGTGGGAGTGAGAGTCACCGAGGGCATCCCATTTAACCTTAGCCCGTTGCTTCCAGTATAAGAACGCGACCTGAGATTGGACTATTTTTTCATCCCTTAAAGAAAGAAATAGATGTCTATGAAGTCTGGAATCCTAGTTCTGAGCCAAAGGTGACATAGAAGCATGTAACTCTTTCCAATTTATACCCCACAACTTCTTATATGATTGATACACCAAGTTAACAGTTTTGCTCGTAACTTCTCTAGTTTTCTAGAAATAACGTACATAGGAGATCCGGAGGTATCTAGATTCCAAGTCAATTAAATTAATAATTTCTTCTACACTTCCTTTGAAAGAAGACACCAGTTATCAATTCGATACGGGCGGTGATGAGCAGGCGGGGCTTTTTCTTGTAGAGTAACTGTTGTGTGATCCAAAAACGTAATGGGTTGATGAAGGAGGAAAGCATCCGGGTGATCCGAAAGCCAATGTTGCGTTGCAAAAGCCTTATCTAACGGTTCAAAGGTCGAATACCCATTGTTATGTCCATTTGTCCATGTAAAAAAAGGTCCAAAATAAGGAATATCTATAGGAGATTAGGAGTATATGTTGTAAATTAGTCCAGTTATAAAATAATACGTGTAATAAAACAAAGAAAATTTTTGATGTATTTTTTGGTCCAAATGAGCATAAGGGCATTATAAATCATAGTGGGACTCTTAGATGAGTCTATTTTACCGTGAATCTATCAACATTTGATATATATATGTCCAATATTTTCTCTGTTTTTTAGTGTATTGA